GCTTTTAACTACAGTTTGTGGACTTCCTGATAGTAAAGAATTACAATAGTCCAGCCTTGAAGTAACAAATGCATGGACTAGTTTCTCAGCATTTTTCAGTTCTTTTTTATTTAATCTGAAGTTCATTAGATGTAAATTAACACAGAGTCACAAAAGAAACATTTAGCTTGTTCGTTTTATTGTAGATCTAGTCACCCTAGATTCTCTGCAACTCAGTTTGGAGAGTGCAAGTATTCATATCAATAATGCAGTTATTTTATAATGTCTTCAGTGTGTTCCTGTGTCTTCTCAGCTGCTCTCCTCCATGTTGGTTGGGTTTTCTGTCAGAGAGGCTTAGTGAAGTTGTTTGATGGCGAGCTGGCTGGTGGTCAGGTGGTAAAGGTGATCCTCTCTGATCGTTCCTCTCTGCTGGGATTAGACGTGGATTTAGCTTCAGGAAGTGGTTTCTGCTGTTTTATCATGGCTGGACCAGCGCTCTGGGAACTGGTACGTACTGGTTTGATGGCTGGGCCTGTTGGCCCGGTTCCTGCTGCAGTGAGCCGACCTCTCTGGGATGAAATGTTCAACATCTGGAGGTTGGCTTGTTTCTGGTTTCCTGTGAGTGATTGGAAGAGCTGTTTGACCTCCAGATCTGTGTGATTTAGTTCTGCAGCAGGCGGACGGTCGTTCACCTGGGGATCCATTAAGGGGATGAGTGGCCTAGTCCAATCCATGCTCAGTTTCAGCTTTCCTTCACTCAGACCGTAGGGGTAATGGAGCAGAGGATCTGTAGCAGGGTCGTCCGGTGCTTCAGTGAAGCTGAAACCTTTCCTGTGTGTTGCAGGTGTCTGGCATCGTGGGTCGGGCGGACGTCTTGGCCTGCCTGCTGTTCCTGCTGACCTTCCACCTCTATATAAGGTAAGGCGTCCAGCCGGAAGCTGCAGAGACGTTCCCTCTCACGGTCCGTGTTGTTCTCAGTCCTGTTCTCCACACGTCTGAGCCAACCTTTCCTTCCTGCTGCGTGTCCGAGAAAAGCCGTGCCATTGGTCAGGAAGGGCGGAGGTTTTTGGTCAGAAACTCCTCCTTATTCCAGGTGTGGACATCTTCCTGTTGATCTGTTGGCCATCTGTTGTTTTATTGATTATTTTTAAACTGGTTGTGAAGCAAAAATTGTCAACGGATCAAATAAAACGAACAGATTAACACCTTCCCCATGACCCAGGGCAGGTCCCTATCAGGGTGAGTTTGATATAACAAACATCTGCTTTCATTTCTGCGTCTGTTTAAAAAGCGGTGTGCTCTTTTTCTTCTTTGTGTCTTAATGGCAGCTGAGATCCATGAGGATCATTACAGTCCAGAAAGCGATGCACTTTTTTAATCTTTATGTTAACAGCAGCATGAAATGCGTCCGCTTGTTGGAAAACAAATTGGATCATCTCTGACTGGAGCTCTCTTCAAAGAAGGAGATATGTAACAGCTGCGCCATCATTCTGACGGGGTCTTGGCTGCGTCCAGCAGTACCGGACGGTGCTGTTGGCCTGGGGGGGCTGATGCTGTACCACGCCGATAGAAACAAAGATCTCTGTGTGAATGGAGGCTCCTCTGAGACTATTTCCAGGCAATCTTCAGCATCTGGAGGGGAAGCACTGCCATCTGCAGGTGAAAATGAGGAGATCTCTAGATGCTTCCCTGCCAAATGCTGAAACATCCCCAGCCGGCTCCTCCCGGCCCCCTACGGCTTTCACACCTTCTCCAGCTCCAGGCTACATGCAACATTTCCCCCCTCATTCATAAAACTGTTAAATTGTGGACATTTTTGGGGACAGCTTTAGCCAGGGACAGGTGGTCCAAAATCTGGACTGTCCCCTGAAATCAGGGACGTCTGTTCACCCTAGGATAGGGTCAGGACAAAGAAAGGGTTGAAACTGGCTAAAAATGTGTTTAAGTTATTGTGAATCGGCACAAATAGAGAGAATAGATGGGTCAAGTAGAACAAGAGGCCATGTTAAGATGTTTAACCTGTTTTTTCATTGTTTTCTCTGGTGTCCAGGAGTGTTGACCAGTGCGTCTCCGAGGACTCGTTCCCCTCCACTGTGTCTCCAGGGTCTCTTCTCCTCAGCCTGTTCCTGGGAACCTGTGCAATGCTGGTGAAGGAAACGGGGATCACGGTGTTTGGAGTGTGTCTGCTCTACGATGCACTGGTGCTCTGCCACAAGCCTCTCACACGGTGAGCGTCTCAACCTTCCTTTGGCTGTTGGTTTTGATAATGTATGTTTTGGTCATATTGAGTCACTGGGAGTGACACAGTGCTGTTTCCAGATGTTTAACATTCTAACTCAGCTTGGCTTTTTCAACCTTAACTAAGTCTCAGAAATACCTAGAGGAAATTGAGAGTTTGGGGATCCCAGTCCAGTCCAGGAGGTGGCCCTCCTGTGTAGAGTCCTGCGCCTGTGTAGCTGTTGTTTGATCTCGCCAATGTTCAGGTCTATAGACTCTTTACCAAACGGTGTAAACTACATTGTCTGTCTTGTTTCTGGGTGTCTTGCCCGACACGGGGCAGGGGCCGCCTTTTACAGCTTCTTTTTCTATGTCTGCTTCTGTCTCCTTGAACCCCAGTGGGCCTCAGCAGATGGCCGCTCACACTGAGCCTGGTTCTGCTGGAGGTTTCTTCCTGTTCAAAGGGAGTTTTTCCTCTCCACTGTTGCTACAAGCATGCTTAGTGTGAGGGATTGCTGAAGAGTCAATGAGTCGATGCAATCAGCTGGTTTTCCTTAGATAGAAAACTTTGAATCAATCTGACTGATCTGGTTGATCTGGATCTATAAAGTGACCTGAGATGACATGAGTTGTGAATTGGAGCTATAGAAATAAACTGAATAGAATTGAATTAAAATTGCCTCTGGGGTGAACCCAGTTTTTGTCTCAGGATTTTCCCCCATCTGATCTGTTTGCCTGACCTGTCTTCTGACTTCTACCTGATGTCTGCCTGCTTGTGTAGCGATCAAACCCGTTTCCGGACCACTGAGTCTGCCTGCCCTCGAAACCTGGAACCGTGACCTGACTTCATCTTGGATTCTCCCTTTGCGCCTTACTGGATCTCTAACCTTCTGGCTCTGACAACCGTCCGCGTCACCGCCATTGGCTATGGCTTCGCTCTCTGGATTATCCTGTCTACATCCATGTACTTGGTTCTGCTCCCCTGCCTATCATCCTTCCGCTGCGCCGTGTGGCAGCCAGCCAGCCAGAACCATCCTCTACCTCTGGGCTAGGACTGACTAAAAGACCAGAGGTTCCTGCCTTAGATGTCGATCCTGATGTCAATAAATGTTCTGATGAATCTGTTAGTCCACCTTTAGTACTGGATCCTTCTGTTCTGAGCCTGACATGAAGTCCCTTCTTCTGTGTTCATCCCTCTCAGCAGATCTCTTCTTGTTGGTTTTTAGAAAAGCAGACTAAAACATCCAGTTCACCTGGGAAGATGTAAAAGATGACAGCCTTGCCTTACTGGACTGGGCGGTTCACATCATGGAAGACAGAAAACTTAACATAGAAGTCTACAGGAAACCCGAACACAGCGACCAGTACCTCCGTTTGACCCACACCACCCACTGGAGCACAAACTAGGCGTCATCAGAACCCTCCAGACGCGAGCAGAAACCATTCCCACCACCAACCGAGGGAGGAGGAAGGTCAAAGCACACTGTGTGGACAACAATGTCGATTCTGACCAAGGAGGACAGATGGTTTGAGAGAGGGGGGTTAAGGAAGCCATCTTTGTTAACCTGGAGAAACCATCTCCCTTAGACATTAGCTGCACTTATATTTAGTCTAATTAGACTCTTTCCATCAAACAGCACTTTAGGTTCACCAGTGGCTTCTCCACCATTTAATGTGTCAGTAGAGGCGGAGCAAAGTGTCACACCCACTCTCTGGCCCAGAGAGTCGGACCCGGAGCCCTCTATGGTGACCCGTCTGATGCAGACTATGGAGCTGCGGTCCAAAAGAAAGAGATTCTGAACTTTTAAACTGGACCAGCTGGCCTCCACCTCTGACTGCTGCCCAGTCCTCCGTCCACTGGTCTTTACCAGACGTTAACCTGAAATAACAAATAGAAGTTTTCTGTTTCACTTCCTGGTTCTTTGGGTTTAAACTAGATTAACATTGAAGATTATGTTTAGAGTTTTCAGCTTTAAATAGAAATTAAGCAGCTAGTTGTAGCAGTGATCCAGATGTTACCATCTGCAAAGGTTACTGTAACCGATCTTCCATCAGCTGATCCAACCAGATCCGCATGTTAATCAGCACCACTGCTCATTCTGGGAAGAAAACTAAAGCATGTTAATCCAGGATGGTTTAATTCCCGGCATAAATCAGACCAAGTAGCAGAACAGCGGTTCCACCTTTAACCAAAGGCTGGGAACTGATAACTCATTCATTATTTTCAGTTTTGTATTTGAGGCAAATGTTTTGTATAAAACCTGCTGAGCTCAACAGGTTAAGACGCTTTTTTTTTAAAAAAAAGCAGCTCCAGGTGAAGACGAGGAGTCTTCCTCCTTAGGGCAACAGGAAGTAACACCGTTAATAAGGTCCACCTCCAGTGTTCTCCTTCACGGAAATGATCTAGTTCAATGAAATTTTCTTTCTGGGCTGAAGGCTATGTAAGTTATCAGAGAAGTTTATGAGGAGAATCTGTTCACCGCCGTATTTCAGCGCAGGATCCAGAAACTGTTTAAAGTGAACCAATCCCTTATTTAGCTTTGAAGCTAACAGCTTTATCAGCATGGGTGTTAAAATCCCCCCTGAAGCCAGAATAAGGCTGAAGTGTCCCTTCCACAGAGCCACACAGAAAAACATGATTTGATTGAGCTGTGGGTTTTAACAGCATCATGTTCTGTGTCAGATGAAGGACAACCACAAATTAACAAGATCCTCATTTACTGATTTTTAGCAGACACTTGTTTTTTGTTATTTTCTTTATATGTTTTTAACTGTGTAAATAAAGTGTTGTTGAAAGTCAAAATCCTCCACTATGATGTCAGTATTTAACACTAGATCAGAGAGGAACTCATCTAAAAGGACCTGGTGGACGATATGGGGTTACAAAAAGAAGAGGTTTGTTGCTTTGCAGTTTGGAACAGAGAAACTAAGGGTTAAAGGTTGAGAGGGAGTTTTCCCATGAGGGATCCTCGATCCCAGCTCAGATAGAAACAGGACCTTCGGAAGTAGTCTGGATCCCATGGCGGGCCCCAAGGCTGGCCCCTCATCAGACTGATCCCTCAGTCTGATGAGGGGAAGTTCAGTCTCACTGTTAGCTTGAATTTGAACCGAAGCGTAGCGTCCAGACGTCCAGCTGACTGTCTCTGTTTGCTCCTCAGGGGCCTCAGGAGCTCCAGACTCAGGGACCTCCCTCTCCTCTGCAAAGCCTTGATAAAACGAGTGGGCCTCATCTCTGCCTATGTGAGTATGTGTTCTACACGCCTGGATGACAGCATGTTGTTTCTTCTGAACTCTGTTCATCTGAATTCCTTCACATGCAGGGCTCGATGTTAACCATCGCCCGATCTCCCGGGGCAAGTCGTTTTTTGTGTTGGGAGAGTACAAATTTCATTGCATTTGCCCGCCGGGCAAGTGCAATGATCGCAAAAACAAATGATCACTCAAAATTACTTTAAAATCACCGAAATTTGGTAAAAACGACCCAGAAGCGTTGCCGGCGCCATTTTTGCTGTTTTGTACACATTCTCGCGTGATTTTAAAAAGGTTCGTGATTTGAAAAAAACACATGATTTTCCGCCAGATGGCGTGATTTTTGTCCACCTAGCCGTAATTTTGATGTAGTTACCGAAACGACAAACATGCTAGAAAGCGCTATCATATGGCAGTCTTCTGTACAGTGATGCAGGTCATACATTAAAAAATGTTCATTAATTTTTTTTCTCTTAGACATTGGAGGTTAATTTTAATGTTATAGAGCTAAACATGTTAAATTGGTGACCTGTTATGTTATTATTATTGTCTTTTTGCTGCATTTATTTTGTCAGGTAAAACTAATCCTGAGTCAGTTAAAAGTCAGGGAATTCTGAAATGATGTCAGACTGTGGTAACCCTGTATAAAATAACTATGGATAATGATTCTCTAGAAAAGTCACATTATATTAATACCGGTAGTATTATCTTGTATAAACATACCGTGACTCTAAAATAAAAGTTATTGATTTGTGACATTGACTTCTGTCTGTGATTTATCTTAAGTTTTTAACCTGTCAAGTTTTTTTTAGATTTTTGTTTTAATTTATATTAAAACACAACCGTTTAAAGCAAAGTTTAGTTTGAAAAGAATGTGCAGGAAGGATTGAAAAGCATGTTAACACGGTAATGTAGGCTGGAGTTCATTATCTGACGCATGCAGATACACACCAGGAACCTGGAAACTTAAAAAATACTGAATTACAAAAAAACATTTAAACAACAAACATGTTTCATTGATATATATACAAAAATGAATATTAGGAACTATATTTATCAAACATTATACTGGGCAAGTAAAAATTGTTCCTGGGCAAATGAAATGTGAAAGTCACTTGCCCAAAGGGCAAGTGGTAAAAATCCTTAACGTCAACCCCTGACATGTCATCTTTAACTAGTCTGAATACGGTTCTGAGAACATCTTAGTACATAAAACCTGGAAACATCTACAGTAAAGGCTGAGCTCACAGAGCTATCAGACTTGGCACAGCCATGCTAACCATTGGAACATGACCTGGAGGCAAAGCTTCAGCCAAAGCTAGAATGACTTCAGTCTGAAGGAGGAAGAAGGAAATGGAACGAAAAGAGGAAGATCTGGTCTTTCCAGAAATATTTCAGGGTGAAAATGAGCAAAGCTAAAGTGGAATAGAAACAGCTTTCCAAAGCATGTTCCAACCTGCTAATCCACACCGACCTCACAGAAATAGAAAAGTCTGGAAATAAACGCCTGCATGTCATCAAACTGTTCGCTGTGGAACATTTCTGAGCTTCATGCATCTTTAGTTTCCTCTCCTGAACTTCTGATCAGGATGCTTATCTTCAGCCTTGATCCCGTCTAACTCCAGGTTCTCCTCTAGGTGGTGATCATCATGTCTGTCAGGCTCTGGCTCATGGGGGGGTCCATGCCTCTATTCTCAGAACAGGACAACCCCGCCTCCTTTTCTCCTCACCTGCTCACCAGGTTAGCCACACTCTTTCCAGCTGATTCACAGTGAATCCATTAATACTTGTTGGCATCTGGTATTGTATTACATATGTTGAAATATAGTGATTCATTGTCTGTAGCAGCATCAGGTTTAAATCAGCAACCGTTCATAACCTGATATCCACTGGGGGGGTTAGGCTAATTCTCTCTATCAAAGCTTTACCATCATGGGTTAGAAAAATGCTTTATAACGTTTTCCCTGCCATGGCAATAAAGAATTATAAACAATTAGTCATAAAAACCTTTTTTTAATTCAGACATAGAAACATTTTTCTCCACAGAATCACAGAAATGAGCAAATAAAAACAAAATAGAGACAGTTTTTAGGAAAAATATGGAGGGTGGGATGGATGGATGGATGGATGGATGGATGGATTATGTATAATGGATGGATGGTGGGATGGATGGATGATGGATGGATGGATGGTGGGATGGATGGATGATGGATGGATGGTGGGATTGATGGATGGATGGATGGTGGGATGGATGGATGATTGATGGATGGTGGGATGGATGATGGATAATGGATGGATGGATGTATGGTGGGATGGATGATGGATAATGGATGGATGGATGGATGGATGGTTGGATGGATGATGGATAATGGATGGATGGTGGGATGGATGGTGGAATGGATGACGGACGGATGGATGGATGGATGGATGGATGGATGGATGGATGGATGGATGGATGGATGGATGGATGGATGGATGTTTTGCCATCTAATAGTGAAACAGAAAATAAAGTCCTCCAGTGTTTCTGTTTTCCCTCCCAATCGTTGCTCTTCCTCTTCTTCAGGTTTCTCACCTACTCCTTCCTGCTGTCCTTCAATGCCTGGCTGCTGCTGGCCCCCATTGTGTTGTGCTACGACTGGCAGGTGGGCAGCATCCCCCTCGTGGAATCTGTAATGGATGTGCGAAACATGGCCACCATGCTGCTGGCTGTGGTGATGGTTGCTCTCTGCTGGCGCTGCCTCCAGTCACTGCAGGTAAGAGGCAGAGGGTAGGCTGATGGAGCTATAGCTAATCTTCCTCCCGTGGGTAGGCCGATAGAGCTATAGCTAACTTTCCTCCAGTGGGTAGGCCGATGGAGCTACAGCTAACCTTTCCTCCAGTGGGTAGGCTGATGGAGCTATAGCTAATCTT